AAAATAAGACAAGATATCAGTGATGACAGCGTACCATGAATGACAAGTATGACACAGATTCTACTCTCTGTAGCTGAGGTCCAGCACTGTATGTATATACACATGTACACAGTCATGCAGAACTGAATGGTGCAGGCAGCCCTAGGTGCATTCTTCGTATGTCCAAAGTCAAGGAGAGTGCAGTGAGCAGTGTGATCTTGATGTCCTTAGAAAAAGTACCATAGCTTCTGCATTGTAAGATATGAGCTAAGTCTTAAAGAAAGGGAATTATCTAGAGCCAGGCAGATTGGAGAGAGGATGGATTTTCAGGGGAAATCACGTGAGTATTGATAGGAGAGGTGGTTGGAGTAAGCCAGCTACCTTGAGTCATCTTATAGACTAGCTGAATGTTAAAGCTGGAGAGAACCTTGAATACCATTTGGTATGTTCATCAGGGGAACATCAGAGATGTTCGATCCTCCTTATTTTTTATGGACAACATTCTATATTTTTTAGTTTCAGTTCTCATTTCCGTAGTATTTTGTTTTTAACAACAACCACCACCACTGCCACCACCACCAGCCCTTCTCTCTCTGCTCTGTTGTGATGTCAGGGGTTTTGCTGTGTGGTTATAGCAAATCAAGTTCTCTGAAGTTGTCTGGTCTATTTGAACCACATTAGAAACCACATACTGGATGTTTCTGCTATTTCTCTGCAACTCTAAGAGACCTCTTGACTGCAGGGATAAAGCCTGTATGTTTCTCTCCGTAGAAACAAGACTTTAGTAGGGAATGGGGTTGCTATACAGCCACCACACAGCCCAGGAAGTGTTTTCGGATGAGCCCTAAAATAGCCCGAAAATTCCCTAGCAAAGCAAAAGACTGAAGAATCATTAATATAAACCTCTAGAATGTTCCCATGGCTTTGACTTTTAATGGATTATTGCTGTCCCTTTTAGCCTGTTTTCTGTTCATACCTGATTATTTTTGGTCTCCTATTCCTTTCCATATCCTCTCACTATCCCAATTTTTGCCTGGAATTTTCCACCCATCAGCATCTTCTCTCTCGAGGTGATTATGTAACTATTTACTTGGCGACTTACTCCATTCCTTACTCTCTGGACAAGATGATTTTCTTAATCTTCCTTACTTCCTACGGCTTCTGGACTCATACTGTGGGTCCCTGTTGCCTTTTAAAGTAATTTGTGCCAATCATTTTTAATAGATTTTTGCATTTTTCTATCTTCTTAGCTATTTTTCTTGTGGGAATTTATACTAAGTAAAAATGCCATTTGTCCTGGGGAGAGTGACTTATCTCTCTAGTTTAAGATTACTAACCTGAAAATGAGCAAGTTAGAATTTATGACAATTAAGTTGTCTTCTAGCTCTGAAGCTATTTGAGTATGTTGGTAAAATGATGTTGAGGTTTACACAGGCATTGCAGAGTACTCAGAAAATCATGAAATTTAGTAAATGCCTCACTCATTCATAGTTGGGCATGCGTCCTGTTTTTCATGTTGTAATCATCCAATATTCTCAGACTCGAGGATTTCTTACTGTACCTAATTGAGTTTTTCATTTAATTTGAGACTTTATTCTTCTTCACAGTCTGGATTGAACTTCTCTTGTTACCATACAGTTTACTCTTACAGGAACTGGGTGTGAAACATTCTTTCTGCAGCATCCCGACAGACACCAAAAGATAAATGAGACTCCAGCAGAATTGTAATTCATGACCCCCGCACTGCTTAGACCAGTGGGCTTTGAAGGGTTCATCAGTACCC